CTGAGAAGTAATGGGTCTGGAACGAGGTCCCCTCGGCCTCGTGAGGATAACTGAGGAGCTATTTGAATGGAAAAGTAACGGCTCCGGTCTAGAAAACCGAGATTAACAGCAGTGGGGATTCGCTGCGCTAACCACGAGACACCCTCCATCCGCAAAAGTTGGGTCTAACTTCGCCGACAAGCGGCGGTCGCTCGGTCGTTATAGTTCGCTTGCGGACTACAGACCATGGAGTTCGTTTTTGTTTGTTTTTACTTTTCCATCTCATGTACAATACCAAAACAGAAAGACTTTACATTTACTTTACTCTACACCGCTCTCATTGCTTAACCTATAGAGTAGAATGATAAGATGATTGTTAAATGATAAATTTTAAAGAAATTCGAAAGAAACGGCCACAGCCTAATCGAAGCAATATCCCGGAATCTGGGCAGAGGGACGGGAGAAAACTACGAAAATCTTAGCAGAATATTCGGTGTTACAGCCGAAACTCGAAACGAACATGTCCCTAATTCAAATTCAAAGTGATTCTGCTAGATCAGCATGTTCGGTGACTGGAAAGACGGAATGATATGTTGGGATTTTGGACTTCAAATGGTTATTTGGACTTTATGGTTATACACCATCGTCAGAATCCTATAGTAACTACTTGGAAAGACGGAAGTTAATAATGGATTTCGAGGATGGCTAGCAACGTCTGTTTCACTTTCATGTAACGACTAACTAACTAACTAACTAATAAACTCCATGGAGCCGAAAACTTCTCGAGAAACCACCAGTTCCTCAGCCATTTAAGAATTTTTCTAATGTTTTATCGAACTCGGAACTTTATTACCGTTTTAACAAGAGTCCGCTTGTGGTCCCTAACCTGAACAGATAAATCCAATCCATACCATCCAATTTTTTCTAGAAGATCAATTTTAATATTACCCTCTCACCAACGTCAAGTCCTCCTAGTGGTGTTTCTGGGTTTCCATTCAAAATTCTATAATCATTTTCTTGTCTCTCATGTGTGCTACATGCCCTTCGCTTCTCATTCTCCTTGATTTGATCATTTTAATTATATTCAGAATTACAGGGTTTTTGGACTTCGTCCATCGTCCAGTATTCTAGAAACTAGAAAACACAACATTTCTGTAACTGTATCTGTTTCCGTCCTCAGGTAAGGAGAGGAGACATGTACTTTGTTGGCTCCCTTAGAAAGGGCTAACCTCAATCACTGGACAACCCTTACCACATTCACTACAGCTACTTAATTACCAGAGACCAGGAAAATTCGGAGATAACAGGAAATAAAAATTGTGATAAAGCACGCACATTCGTGGAACTAGGATAAAAATTGAGGTAGAAATTTATACCACAAACCCAGCCATCAAACTTAGTGCATGAACACCACTGCACAGAATTATACTCGGCGAAAAGAATAAGTTATGAATCTCTTCATTACACAGTTTTCTCCAACCTTCTATTATTTCATCCCTCTTTGTTTCATTTATTCTCCTCAGTAATCTCGGTCTACGTTCCTTCCTTAATAACAAAGACCAATTTTCACACTCATACAAAACTACTGGCAAAATTATTTAGCTAAGAAAATACCTAGGAACATTAAGCGAAATAAACTATCAAGCGAGCTTGCTATTGGACTGCTAAACCGAATCATGAATCTTCTGGACAAGAAACTGCAGTTATAAAAGCTAATTATTTAATTAATTAATTTAACTTATCATTCCATTGAGTTTGTTCAAGTTTCATACAAATTATTAATTCATAGGACAACACAATTGATTTCGAATAATTGAAACTACAGCACAAGGAATAAATATTAAACTGATACACTCATCCTTTGCGACACAATTCATTAAAAAATTTTATATATTTTACGAAATATTTCAGATTATGATTACTTGGTTTCTGTGCTATGTCCGCAGCCTTTTACTCTGAAAAGAATGACTTTTCGGAAAATGGATCTTTCTCCAGTGAAACGGTGGAGAAACTTTTACCGAACTTCTCACGGATATAGAATTTATCTTTTCAGAGGTCCAAACTGAGGACGGAAAGAAAATAAGTTCCGAAAACTTACCTTCTGTCAGAATACTGGTTGATGGACGAAGTCCACAAATCCAGTAACCGTAAGCGTAATATAGCAGTATTCATAAGCGCAATATATTAGTAATAATGAGTGCAAAATACCACAAATAAAACATATTTTTCAGTTTTTTGGTTGAGCTAAGACTGAGACCCATTGTCAGATTTCTCAGATGGCGATAAATGAGCATAGAACATTGACAGAATGACAAATAATAGAAGAAAACAGAAGTTCCCAGAGATAAAGTTCTCCAAACTTCTTCGTCCACGAGAAATTCCAACGGAGCTAACTGGGGATTGAATTTGTGTCGTCACGTTGAGAAGCTGGCAGAGACGTTAATAATTATAAATTATGTTCAAGATGAAACTAAAAGGAAATTAGAACAGGGAAACAGTCGAAAAATAATTTAAGTTCTGAATCTGTAAATTCTTCAAATGCTACGTGAATGTGTACCTTAAAATCAGAACATTCGAAACTCTAAGGTTTCCTGCTGTTTTACAGGGATGTGAACCCTGGGTTATCGCTCTGATGGAAGAGTATAAGTAAGAGTTTTCTGTAACCAAATGGTGAAGATGACTTAACATAAAACTAGAGGAAAATATACAATGAGAAACTCATAACTTCTATTCTCGCAATGTGATTAAAAGTCAGCTGTCTCCAAAATCATTTCAAACATACATACTGACTTGATTTCCAGGTTTTGCGAAGACTGTATGTTCTTGTGAAACTCGCCTAATAGGCTACAACATGGTATCATAATGCAGAAGGGCACGACAAAACTAAATATCTTGTTTAGATGAGTAAATTCTGATTTTCATTTGCTTTTACGCCCATATAAACCAATGATTTGTGACAGAGAGTATTACCATGATACACTGCCCACGTTACATGTGGCAGGACACTCACAAACCCCCGAGAAGTAATTTTGTGACAGTGAACTCGTCTTTCACCTCTGCATTCATAGGGATGTGTCAGACTTGTAGAGGACGATGTGTTTCCATAACGTGCTGACAAAATTCGAGTAGCATCCTCTCGTAATAATTTATTTCTGTGGTACTGAGATTTAGTGACGCCACAAACCCTTAAAATAACGCATGAACTCACGTGACCTACTCCACCATAATCCGTGTTTGTCAGCGAAACGTACAGCTCTGTACATTGTTGCAAGTCACTAACCCGCTGTACAGCGATAGCAGTAAACAGTCTTACAACCTTGTCAATGATGAAACCAACGTTTCAGAGGCCCAGGAGATCTCAGAAACTTTGATATTTATTTCAACATTGACACGAATGATCGCCCTGAGAGGATTTCATTACATTTATTCGCCGTGAAAACTTCAAATCTTACATAATCTTACAACGGATCTGCACCTACAGTAAGATGTAATGAACTCTAACCTCTTAACTACTGAGATGATCCTCTTGTGTACAAAAAACCACGAGGCAAGCAGTAGAATAGTTGGTTGAGGCACTATGCTACAAGCCGGAAGGTAGCGAGTTCGAGTCCCCACGAGGAGGATTATTTTCAATTTACCTACTCCTTCCAGCTGCATTATGACCTTGGGGTCGACTCAGCTTCTAATATAAATGAGTACCAGGAATCTTCGGGGGGGGGGGGGA